ACAGGGGCTCAAAACAGTCAAACTTTTTCTTTTTTTTTTTATTCTTATGTTAATCCCCATACATTACATCATTAGTTTTAGATGTAGTGTTCCATGATTCATTGTTTGTGCATAACACCCAGTGCTCCATGCAGAACGTGCCCTCCTCAATACCCACCACCAGGCTAACCCATCCTCCCACCCCCCTCCCCTCCAGAACCCTGTTTGTTTTTCAGAGTCCAACTTTTTCTTAACAGCAGTGCCTCCTTAACCCACTTAAAACTAAATAAGTTAATACTTGGACTCATCCTACTCGGTTTTTTCAGGACAGGCATCCTCCATTCTCGCCCAGGTGACAGAACTCCTTCTCTGAAGGATTTATCATCAGAATTATAGGGGGCAAAACACGTCCACATAAACACATATCCGATATAAGTGCCAGTTTGTGGAGGAGACCATGAGCACAATGGGGACAGAGAAATACGTGTCCTAGAAGGAGATGATGAATGCAGAATCATTTACAATTAGAGATGGGTGTTAGGGCCTCAACTCTCCTCCTTGGTAACGGAGCTTAGTAAGCTGTTTAGAATGGTGAGGACTTATGTTGCAACATCCACATTCTCTAAACCCATGACAAGTGACCCCAAAGCACACAGCATTTGGTAATTGAGAAAAACAAAGAAATGATTCTATCTCTGCTGAATTGGCTTATTCATTGATTTGCCCCAGGGCAGGGGGCTGGTCCAGGCAGTTCGCAGGAGCCATCGAATGCTCTGAGTGCCAGCCTGGTCTCTCACAGGGACTTCCCCACGCAGCCCGCGTCCTCAGCAAACGCCGCTCCTGTCGCTTGGCACCACCCTAAAGGTGCAGGAGCGATCTGAAATGAGTTGAATCTCCTGGCAGATAGGCAAGATAAAATTCATTGTTCAGATAGTCTGTCTTGAAAGGCATTTGTTTTCGTTCCTCTTCTTTCTTCTTCTGCTTCGCACCCCCCCACCCCAAGCCATACTAGGATCTAAAAAACTCAGGCTCCTTTGGGACCACAGGCAACATTATCATCATCTACTCGAAGGCACGCAAGCAGTGCAGGCAGAAACTCGGTGGCGAACCACTGCATCTGTGGTTTTCACATCTACATATGGTCCCAATTTAGGATCACAAGCAGAGTTGTTTATTTTAGAAAAGCTTTTTAGTTCACTTTTAAGGTATTTTGCTTAGGCACTGCTTGCTTTTCAAAAGAAGAAAATGTGTATTTTTTTCCAAAGTGGTGTTTGTTTTGGCTGTTTGCTCATTTGCAAAAGTTCAAATTTTACTCTGCAAATTTAACTAATTCTCCTGCAGCCACCACAAGCCCCACCCCTCCCCAACGCATCTGCACAAAACCCAAAATTAGAAAATACATTAATTTGAAAATGAGGCACTTGGAGGATAGCTGTGAATTTTGTAGGTTTTCGAAAAAGCCACTTTAATAGGTAATTTGCAGTTAGCACTTTTAATCCCTTCATATAACTTTATTTGCTGCCTGAAGTGAAGTCTCTATCTGGCAATATGTATGGAGGCCAAGTATGTTTCTGTCTTGAGGTTAAGGCCCATTGGGGGTCCTTTAAAACCTTTATTCTATGATTCTTCCTGAAATTATATGACTTAACTGGGAGTCAGAGTAGAGTTTAAGTTGAGGTATCACTTATTTATTTATTTTTTAAGATTTTATTTGTTTATTTGCTAGAGAGAGAGAGAGGGAGTGACAGTACAAGCAGGGGGAGCGGCAGGCAGAGGGAGAAGCAGGCTCCCCGCTGAGCAAGGAGCCCGATGTGGGACTTGATCCCAGGACCCTGGGATCATGACCTGAGCCAAAGGCAGACGCTTAACCGACTGAGCCACCCAGGCGTCCCTGAGGTATCACTTATTGTTGAAAAAAATAATGTGACATTTAAACAAAATTGTGGAAGGGGTTGCGATTGAGTGAGGACATGGAGAAAACGATAAAAAAAAAAAAATCAAGATATACACTTGGGTGGGCCCTTCAGCACGTGGTCCTGTCTAGAGCCCTACTGTCTCCAGTTACTGAAATCTCCCGACTTCATCTTCTTTCTGAAACTCCACTTACTGAGGATGTCCTTTGCCCAGAGCAAGAGCCCCACATCTCTGTTCTCGAAGACGTGCTGAGTCCCATGTACCATTCCTTTGGGTAAGGTTCTCCACTAACATGGTAATGAGTACTATGTGGTCCTCTGTTTCTGTGTAATATATTTGCATCTTAGACAATTTCTGGGGTAATCACTGTAACTTAAAGCAGTGACTTCCTCACAGGAGTCCCAGGCCCCCTGGTGTAGCAGCTCAAGAGACAAGTGGGATAGTTCGTGTTCTTGGGTGAGGAGAGAGGGCAGTGTTGGGTCGGTCCCCGGAGGCAGGCAGAAATCAACGCAAGTAGAACATCAGTGGCCAGATCAGAGCCAAATAAATGGCCAGGAGGTTTGTAATTAGTGATGGGGTGTGCAAGGAGCTAGCTTCCGACACACAGGGAAAGGTTGAAGGAGGTCTGCAGGAGCCTGGGAGGGCCAATAGATGACATCAACACCAAGCCATGTGGCAGCAGGAGTGATCCTCGGCCCGACTCACAGCTCTTATGGTTTCATCTGGGGCTGGACTTTCCCAGCCAGCCTGGGCTTTACAGGGAAACACGACACTGGGGACCCAGGGCTGAGAAGAAGGTGTGAGTAAGGCATGGCAGAGACTGAGACGGGCCCATGCTGGATGGGATGGCCAGCCCAGGGCCCCCTTCTGTCAGCTGCTTGCTGTCAAGAGTCTCCTTTCCGAGGTTCTGGGCTGGCCCGGGCTGGGCACGTGGCTCAGGGATGCGATTATTTCATATGGCAGTTCCTTCTACTCCTCTGTAAATTAAGACGAGGGGACTTGAGTTGAGTCAGGGAAGGCCTTCTGGACCACAACAAAGAAGGTCTCACTTGGCCTAACAAATTGGTGCCTGCATTAATTATTGATCCCCGACCTCCCTTTCTCCATCCATAGCTGCTGTAAATAAGTAAGTGTCTTTTATAAACAGCTAGTGTAAACGTTTGTTTTGGACAGTGATCTCCTTATAGGACATTCTTTTCTGTTTCCGATTTTCTTTTTTCTTTTTTTTTTTTTAAAGATTTTATTTATTTATTTGAGAGAGAGAATGAGATAGAGAGAGCATGAGAGGGGGGAGGGTCAGAGGGAGAAGCAGACTCCCCACTGAGCAGGGAGCCCGATGCGGGACTCGATCCCAGGACTCCAGGATCGTGACCTGAGCCGAAGGCAGTCGCTTAACCAACTGAGCCACCCAGGCGCCCCTGTTTCCGATTTTCTAGTAGTTATTACCTTCTCCTTCTCCTTCTCCTTCTCCTTCTCCTTCTCCTTCTCTCTCCTTCTCCTTCTCCTTCTCCTTCTCCTTCTCCTTCTCCTTCTCCTTCTCCTTCTCCTTCTCCTCCTCCTCCTCCTCCTCCTCCTCCTCCTCCTTCTTCTTCTCCTTCTCCTCCTTCTCCTCCTTCTCCTTCTCCTCCTCCTCCTCCTCCTCCTCCTCCTTCTTCTTCTTCTTCTTCTTTTTCTTCTTCTTCTTCTTTTTTAATTCCAGCCCTGGGAAGGGAGAGCAGGTGGTGTGTGTGTTGGGGTTGGGGAGCAGGGGTGGGGAGTTCACTCCAATGACAGCTTCTACAGACCTCTGGTATAGTTTTTCCGGCCTGTAGTTTTCCCACCGCACACAAATATTCCCAACTTCTTCCTTTTGTATCCATGTAATCTCTGCCAGGTATTAGTCATTACGAATAAAGAAATATCAAAAACAATAAAAACCGCTGAGCTCCTCACTGAGCGTCCACTCAGTGCCAGGCACCATACCTGGGCCAAGGGCCCAAAGCCATGTTGGAGGAGACACAAAGGTGGTCGGCCACAAGGCTGTGTGGAAAGTGGCAGGCACCTCCCCTCAATGAAATCTAGAAGAGAGGCATCCAGGAGCACACACTCGGATAGGCAGAGCACTCCATGTGGTAGACTCTGAAATGGTAACTCATGTGCTTCTTTTGAACCCTATAAATGGCCATCTTTTTTACCCACAAATGGTAATGGGGGTAAAGAAAGCATAATTCAAATTCACAAATAAAAAAGGCTTAATGTTTTAACACATTTTAAAAAATAGCTTTAAAAAATAATTTAAAAATTTTTAAGTAGCTTCAAGCTCTTCACCTACACTCTCAACTAAAATTTTAACTAGAACTACTGGCGAGAAACACTGTTGGCTTGGGTAAATTTCACAGTCCCTTGTTACTTGGAATAGTACATAAGGGGTGCCGTCAGGTGAAAATATAATGTGAGCCACACAGGTGAGCTTAAATGGTCTAGTACCCTCATATCAAAAAGTAAAAAGAAACAGGTGAAATTAAATTTAATAACTTATTTTATCCCAATACATCCAAATTATTATCATTTCAACATGTAATCAGTATTTAAAAAAAAATGAGTGATGAGATATTGTGCATTTTTGTTGAACTATTTCCAAAATCTGGTGTGTAGCTTATACTTAGGGCACATGACCATTCAAACCAACCCTATTTCGAGGGTTTAGTAGCCCCACATGGCTGGTGTCCCAGGACAGCTCAGGTACACAGAGGAGGCTTGGCGGGCAAAAGTACTTGCTCTGTGATCCATCTGCCTGAGTTTGAATCTTGGCTCCCTCCCCCTAGCTGTATGACCTTGTCTGTAACATGAGGATATAAGGAATGCCAATCTTAAGGGGGTGGCATGAGGATAAAATAAAATAAAATAGTCCTTGTAAGGCTCCTTGCATGGAATCTGGCAAATACAAAGAGGCTGTCCTTTTACAATGCACAATTAAAAACTTATGTGATCCTGGGCAAAGTGTTTTACCTATTTGAATATTTGTTTTCCTTCTGTAAAACACGGGTGATAATAATACTTCATTGAGAAGATTAACTGGTACAAACATAGCACTTAATAAATGTTCACTTCTTTCCCCTTGGATTCAGATGTCAATAAACAGAAAAATAGCCAAAGGGCCAGTGGAGCGGGAACAGAGGTAAACGGGCCCAGATAACTGGCAGAGCACAGAGTCATGAGGTAACCACGTCACAGCAAGCATCCAGACGGCTCCAACCTACCTCAGGCAGTGTGAGTATACCCACTGGATGTGTTTCTTTGGTAGTCTCTTTACTAGAAGCTATAGAACAGCAAGCAGGTTCACCAATCCACAGGCCAATGGAGGCTGTATCTGCCTCTTTTGTGATCTATCTCTGCGTACACCTAATGCCGTAGACAGCCATTCTGTATTTTAAAATCTTAGCCATGACTTGACTCCCTTGATGTTAAGAAGGAGAAGGAGAAGGAGAAGAAGAAGAGGGAGAAGAAGAAGGAGAAATAAACTATTTGTTTATTACAGAATTCAAAATCTCTAATGGTAATGGCCTTGACTGCTTTTCCACTCAGAAGTTTGCTTTTGCATATTTAGCAGCTTAAACAAGATTTTGAGAAGGAACACTTAAAAATTTTAATTAAAACCATACCCTAATTATCCTTCTGCTCTTCTGCATATTTGTTTATTTCTTTTTCCTTAGGATTGATTTGTTAAGAGTTTTGGAATTACTGGGGAAGAGCTTTTGAGGATGTTTGAAATCCGTGATTCAAAGCAGGGAGGGACCTGAGGGTGACGGGATTGGTTGTGACATCAGCAATGACTGGCCACGGCCACTCCTCGAAGAGGCTGGGAACCCTCCATGCTGTCCTTCAAGAAGATGTTGTAAACCCTCCCAAGGCTTTTAATGCCCCTTCGTGCTTTAACGTCCCAGAAGGTTTGTTTCCAAATGACAGTAAGATGGCCACGAAAAACAAAAGTGAGTTTTGGGTGATCCTGAGGGCCTCATCCATTGCTCCCACCAACGGAAAGGGAAATATTGGTAAGACACAAACAATCCTTGGCTTTCCCGAAAGGGACTTACGACCTCACAGCTTTGGCACTTCATTCATCCACGGGAATACAATAAACACGATATGTAACTGTGAAACACAAAATAAAGCAAACATAACAAAAACACCTTCTACTAAATTTGTTCCACTCCTGATGCTGGATTTATTTCTATCGCCATGTGTATCTCTCAGAAAGTAGCAGAAACCAGGATTGTTTCTTAAAATATAGGAGCTAATGCTAATTGACCAGTTAAATAAACAGAATTGTGTACAGATGTCTTACCAAAATGGAAATAAAATAAATGTCTCGAGAATATGCACAGAGGTTATTCGGGATGGTCATGCTGTTCTCGTTGTTTCAATGGCACTAGGTATATTTTGGGGAAAAGTGGCCCTGATGAGTTCATTTCAAGGTGGTGATTTGATATTTAAGGGACTTGGGTGGGGGTGGCGCCCAGTCATAGCAATGTCATTTAAACCTGGACAAGGTTTCCACCCAGAAACCCCCAAGGGTTGTACTCATGTTGAGGTCCATTCCCCATTCAATAAAGGGAGAAGAATGTCCGAGGAAGAAGACTCTCTGAGACCAAAACCGGGGACAGAAACAGAGGCTGGGATCCCTGAGGTGCCCCTGGGCAGACCACGGTGCTACAGCTGGTGAGGAGGATTGATACCAGTGCTCACTGTGTGGTCAAGCCTCTCTCTGTCCCCTGAAGCATGCTTTACGTAAAATGGACCCTCAACACGTATTTGTTGACAGGATGGCCTCCATTCCGTGTGCCTGGAGGCAACTAACTGGTTCTCAGCAGGATACACATTATTTATATATATAAAAGAACCTGGCAGAACACATATGACCGGGGATCTTGCTAGGACTGCTCCTAGAGGTGGGTTTACAGTGAGGTGAATGAGGTGTAAGATTCAGGGCCCCTAACCCTCCTACACTGTTGGTGGGAATGCAAGCTGGTGCAGCCACTCTGGAAAACAGTGTGGAGGTTCCTCAAAAAGTTGAAAATAGAGCTACCATATGATCCAGCAATTGCACTATTGGGTATTTACCCCAAAAATTCAAATGTAGTGATCCAAAGGGGTACATGCACGCCAATGTTTATGGCAGCAATGTCCACAATAGCCAAACTATGGGAAGAGCCAAGATGTCCATCGATAGATGAATGGATAAAGAAGAGGTAGTATATATATACAATGGAATATTATGCAGCCATCAAAAAAAACCCCGAAATCTTGCCATTTGCAACGACGCGGATGGAACTAGAGGGTATTATGCTAAGCGAAATAAGTCAATCAGAGAAAGACATGTATCATATGATCTCAGTGATATGAGGAATTCTTAATCTCAGGAAACAAACTAAGGGTTGCTGGAGTGGTGGGGGGTGGGAGGCATGGGGTGGCTGGGTGATAGACATTGGGGAGGGTATGTGCTATGGTGAGCGCTGTGAATTGTGTAAGACTGCTGAATCACAGACTTGTACCTATGAAACAAATAATACATTATATGTTTAAAAAAGAAGAAGAAGAAGATAGCAGGAGGGGAAGAATGAAGGGGGGGAAATCAGAGGGGGAGATGAACCATGAGAGACTATGGACTCTGAGAAACAAACTGAGGGTTCTAGAGGGAAGGGGTGTGGGGGGATGGGCTAGCCTGGTGATGGGTATTAAAGAGGGCATGTATTGAATGGAGCACTGGGTGTTATATGCAAACAATGAATCATGGAACACTAATCAAAAACTAATGATGTGATGTAATGTACAGTGATTAACATAATAAAATAAAAATTAAAAAAATATTTAGGGCCCCTCCTTTGCACAGATGGCTTCCAAAGCCTTGGACCTAATTTTGCATTTGTAACTTTGTATTATTTTTCTTTCTTTTTTTTTTTTTTTTTTAAAGATTTTATTTATTCATTTGAGACAGAGAGATTCACAGAGAGAGAGAGCATGAGCAGGGAGAGAGGCAGAGGGAGAGGGAGAAGCAGGCTCCCCGCTGAGCCAGGAGCCCGATGCAGGGCTTGATCCCAGGACCCTGGGATCATGACCTGAGCCGAAGGCAGACGCTTAACCATCTGAGCCACCCAAGCGCCCCTTTCTTTTTTTTTTTTTTTTTAAAGATTTTTTATTTATTTGACAGAGAGAGAGACAGCTAGAGAGGGAACACAAGCAGGGGGAGTGGGAGAGGGAGAAGCAGGCTTCCCGCCGAGCAGGGAGCCCAATGTGGGACTCGATCCCAGGATCCTGGGATCATGACCTGAACCGAAGGCAGACGCTTAACGACTGAGCCACCCAGGCGCCCCTGTATTATTTTTCTTAAAGAGGGTTTCTCAACTGCATAAGCTTCAGGCCTCACAAAACTTGGATCTGCTCTGGGCTATTCTGAAAAGCCACCCATGAATGCCATCTTGGATTTTTCATCTGTCATCATTGCAACTCCCACTCATCCAAAGCAAATATAAATCAATTAGCTCTGTAACATTGGACAAATTAGTCCTGGGTTTCCTCACTTCTGAAAATGAAAAGCAGTTGGGTATGATTCTTCAGATCCCCAAAGAGAGAGATGTGGAGAAGTAAGGCATAGTGGGAAAAGAGAAAGAGGCAAAGGATCTGTACTAACAGCTGGTGTATGACCTGCAGCGAGGAACCTCCCCTCTCAAGGCCACAATCTTCTCTACTATGAAACGAGCAGGTAGACAAGATGCTCTCTAAAGCCCCATGCTGACCTGGGGTTCAATACCCCACTTCATGCCCTGTGCCACATCTCATGCCCTACTCTCACTGGATGTCACCATGGCCCTCGGCGGCATTCAGTACAATGTTCTGACAAGCCTCAGACTTCTAATTCAGTGTTCTTTCTGCTATACCACATTGCACATATTTGCCAGCTGAACAGTAAATAAGGCTGATGTCATTGGTTTTGCTGGCCTTCAAATGTGCACTGTTGTCATGCTGAGTCAAAGATGACACTGACATGAACCAGCACTGTAGCATGCAACGTGGCAGATGATGAGGGTACAGCTGCTTTCCCAGGAGGCACTGGAGTTAAAGCTGCAGCTGCTAGAGAGAGCCAGTCTGCAGGGAAAGGCCATGTCATTCCCTGTCTCTGTTCAAACCCAGGTTTCCTTTGCTCCACTACTTGATCGCCCATTGCTCATTGCTGACGGCTAAACTATCAGCAGAATCACCTGGAGCCCCCCCCAAATCCTAAGCAGCCCAACTTCCCAGAACCACTAAATTTAAATTCCCGGAGATATTGGGGGCCAGGAATTGTTACTTCTAAAAGCTTCCCAGGTCAGAAAACTGCTGTTCTAGGTACTTCCCTCTGTCCTAACAGGATTGGAAATGCTATAGCACTTGAAATAATCAGTCTATCTCACTACCCTGATGCCTCGTGCCACAATGTAAACTGGGGTAGTGTTGGTCGGGGCAAATAGTAACAGAAAACAGCCCTACCACAGAAGACTACCTCTTGCATGTATTATAATGCATATAAATTTGTACATTTATATGAAATGTCCAAAGTAGGCAAATTCTTGGAGACGGAAATTGGTTTAGTGGTTGCCAGGGTCTGGGGGAAGGGGGAGGGAGGATGGGGTAAGGAGGGGTGGGGAAACTGGGGGAATGATGGCCATAGGAATGGAATTTCTTTTCGGAGTGATAAAAACCACACAAACAGACACACACATGCACACACACGCAGGTGCATCATGCCAACCGGTGATCACCAGCAGGTTAGTTACAAACACTTAACTAGCGAATGTCCTATGTGTGTGATTGGCACTCAGCCTCCTTATCACCTCACTCACCTTGTGACCACTTAGTAATACGCTTCCCTAGACCTCCCACACCAGAGAAACCAAATCGTCCTGGGCCAATGTCACCACCTGGTGGCCACCTCAGGAACTCCCCAACCAGGTATTTGCACCACTTCATTCACTGTCTGCGGAACCTCATGCACAAGTCATTCTCCCCTTTTTTCTTCTTCCAAGTTCAGGGCTCAGTTAATTCTAGCTAGGTAATCTACAGTTTATACACAAGCATTCCTTTCCATCTCTTCTCCCAACTCCTGCCCTGTGTCTCCCTCTCTTGCTACTTGGAAAGCTTAAGGAGCTTCAGCTGTAAGTCTGAACTAGGAAGAAAGTAGCAAATCTTGAAGTAGTGAGACACATTTGGATTTACTAAACCAACAATCATCTCATCAACAAATATTTTTGGAGAATAAGAAAAGTAAATAGCTATATAATAAATGGGAAGACAGTCAGTTTTTTTTTTTTAAGATCGATTTATTTGTTTTAGAGAGAAGGAGAGCACACATGAGCGGGAGGGGCAGAGGGAGAGGGAGAGAGAGAGAATCTCCAGCAGACCATACTGAGCACAGAGCCCAACTCAGGGGTCGATCCCATGACCCCCAGATCACGACCTGAGCTGAAACCAAGAGTCGGGGCTCAACTGACTGTGCCACTCAGGTCCTCCAAGATGGTCAGTTTTGTTGGTAATCAAATGAATGCAAATTAAAACAATGAATGTTATTTTTGCCTGTTAAATGAAAAGATTGGAAAAAGTAATACTCATAGTTAAGAAGCAAGACAAGATTCCATGAACAGATGAAGAGAAGGCAGCCAGGTTAGTCCAGCATTTACAGAAAGCAATGTAACAATATGGAGGAAATGGGGCCTAAAAACAGGCATGGAGCCTGACCCAATTTCTCTTTTCATAGAAATATATAGCCTAGAGAGCTACACAAAGACTTTTGTGCTAATTGTTCACTGAGGCAATATTTATGATGCGGACAAACTGGAAAAACTCTAAATGTCCAACATTTGGGTAATGTTTACCTGAACTATGGTATAAACATAATAGGATATAATGCAGTTACTAAAAATAATTACAGTGATTATTTAATGAAATACAAAAAGTTCTTGATACAATATAAAGTTTAAAATTCAGATAAAAATATTAAGTATAAACATTCAGATAAAAGAAGTATGATTTTGGGTACACCTGGCTGGCTCAGTTGGTTAAGCTCTGACTCTTGGTTTCGGTTCAGGTC